CCCTCCCCTCCCCTCCCCGCTCTCGCGCCGCAGGTCCCCCCGCAGGCGTGCTGCGTGTTCGATCCCGTCTTCTCTGCCCTGGAGATGGAGGTGCTGAGCGGCCTCGGGCTGACCGTGTTGCGGCGGAACGAGGTGAGCGTGGCGCAGTCTCCGCCGCCACGGCCGGGGCCGCCGCCTGGGGTGGGGGGAAGGGCCGAGCGGTCCTTGGCACGTCCTTTGCTTGCCCAGGAGGGAAAGCGGAGCATCGAGGGCCCCACCCTCTTCTACATGATCCACTGCGGGAAGGCGCTGTACAACAACCTGCTGTGGAGCAACTGGTCCGTGGAAGCGCTCTCCCAGATGGTGGTCGTAGGGAACAGCTTCAGGGGCTTCGAAGAAAGGTACGGGCTCCCCCCGCCACCTGGGCAGGGAGGGCATCTGCGGCAGTCTGTCCCCCGCACCCTTCTGCAGTCTCTTTGTCCTTTCCGGGCCCTGGTCAGGTTTGCCTAAACCTGGCCTGTTGAGTCTGGATTCCTGCGCTGCAAAGGCGCGAATCATAGCTTGCCGGTTGCAGAGGCTGGGCCACAGCATCCCAAGCCGTCCACGTGGCACATCAACCGCTTGCCGGTTTGGCTGGTCCCTTTCCTTGCCCACCTCTGCATTTTGAGAGCTCTGATGAAAGCTGTGCAAGGGCCTGCCTGAGTTTTATTTTCCCGCCCTCCACCTTTTCTAATGTCTTTTGTCTCTCTTCCCCCAATTCCCCCTTTAGGCTGCTGGCCAAAGTCTTCCATGAGAATTACAGTTACATTGCCAAGGTGGGTCTTCCTCACTTACCTGGGTAATGGTGGTCTGCCCCCATTTTTGCAGAGCCCCTTAAAGCTCCTTTGACCAGAGCCAAACTTGCAAGCCCGCCCTCAGAGGACAGAAACCACAGCTGGGCAGCTCAAGGCCAGCTCCTGGCAGCACATCTGCCCTCAAGCCTTCGGTGACTGGTAGCCTTGCACGGATTATGCAATGGGGGAGCTGAAGTCCTCTCTGGTGGCCTTCAGTATCTGGCAGCTCTTCTAGCTTGCAGCTGCCAATGGACCACAAGTCTGAGACTCCTTCTTGCACTCACTTGCACCCAGGTGCTGGAGGCAACCCAGGAGGAAGCCCTTCCGCCCCACCCGCGGCACCTGGATGTCTTCAACGACACGTCTGTCCACCGCTTTCCTCTGGAGAAACTGAGGGACCTCCCACAGGATTGCTGGGCCTGCCAGCAGGAGCCCGTTTACCCAGAAGAGGCGCAACTGGAGATCATCAGAAACAAATCCCGATAACATTTCCACCCTAGAAGATGCACAGAAGGGGGGGAGGGGCTGCAGCAGCAGTTTGTGGGCATGCGGCGCAGTGAGTCCCACACCACAAGTCGAGGACATTGTGCACTAAATAACTCTTGGTTGTGGAGGAGTCTCTGGCCACTGGGCTTTAACCAGGTCCCACTCCTCACGCAGAGCAGAGGTGGGTGGGTGGGTGGGAGCAAATCAGTGCTGGCAGGTGTTGCTCCTTCCAGGAGACCAGACCAGGATCTTCTCCCCAAAATGCTTTTTTTTTTCCTAAGAACTTGGTGGCTGACCTACAAAGCTCACCCACTCAGCAGACCAAGCTCAGCTGCTGTTGCGTGACAGAGACTCCAGGGATCTACCAGCCACCCAAATGCTTTTATAACGTTTCAATTAAAAAAGTCCTCCAGAACTCTTTCTGTGATTTCTATTACACGGCAGTTATTCTCCTCTCCTGCCTTTCTCAAGCTCCTTTGGTGGCTTGCCAAATCAAAGGTGGTTTGCTTCTCTTTCCCTCCCCCCCCCGCCCCCGCAAAGGCTCAGTGGCTTGAGCATTTCACTAGTCTGCAGCCTTCTCCCTGCTGGCAACCCATAAATTGTAGCAGGTGAAAGCCGCAGAATAAGCTAGATGTACTTTATTTACATGTCGAGTTCTCTCTCTGGGCTGCATCTTTTCCAGCCCTTTTCACAAGGGAGCTGATGGTGCCAGGAAACCCTGAGCGCGTCCATGCATTCTGTGGGGTGGAGGCAAGGTGGGGCAGCCTTTCTGGCCCAGCCCCTTGTGCTCACTTGGCCATGTCGATGAGGCTCTGCAGGGAGGTAGGGACCCAGGTCTTCTCGCCCTGCACAAAGACTACCCCCCGGTCAATATAGATGACAATGCGCCCAAAAGTGTACAGCTGTTTTCCTTCGTGCCGCTTCCCGATGACGGGCATGAAGACAATGTTGTGCTCCTCTGCTTTGGTCTGGATGAGGTCCTTAAAGTTCATGGGCACAGAACTGGCAGCCATGCCGATCCCACGCTGCGCCATATTCTCAGCTTCTCGGCGCTCCTGCATGGCTTCATACTGGAAGTCCTTCCGGCGTTCCGTGTGCGTGAGGTAGGCAATGTTCTCCCGTGCACCGGGCTGCATGTAGCCCCCTGGCAAGAGAACATGGGAAAGGGTAAGGAAAGAGCCTAGGGGCTGAAGCTGTAGCCTCTCATTTGCACCGCCCCCCTTTCTATAATCAGCCAAAGCCTGGCCAGGTATCCAGCCCTTGAAGCATTTCAGATGACTGGGAGAACAGCCCCCGCCCGCACTGCACACACACCGACACTGGAGGAGACTGCTCTGTTCATGATGTCCAGGGCTTCATTGAACTTCTCCTTGATGGAGGGGTGGGCCAGCACCTGGTCAGAAAACATAGACTTCCAGCCCAGGTACCACTTGGTGATCTCTTCATAGTTGGGGTTGTTGCTGAGCCAAGAGCACAGCACCTGTGGGGGGAGAAGAGAGAGGGCGCTGCCACAACAGCCCATCACAAGCTGTGCTGGCTCTTGGTGCCCCTCCCGCTGGCATCACTGGCACCCTAAGGGCTCAAAGCCAAGCCTGTTTGGGAGCCGCAGATCGAGGATGTGCTTGTGAGCAAGAGAAGGGAAGGGAGCCAAGATGCTCGGTTGCTCTTAGGGCTCTGGCAGGGTTGGGTGTGGTGGCTCTTAAGCCCAGCCGGCTCCTGAGGGCAACCCACCTGCAGCCACTTGGGGAAGAAGTGCTTCTCCAGGAGCCCCACCAAGCTGGAGACAGAGACCACCCCTTCCCAGTCCATCACCCAGAAAAAGGCATCCATGTGCTGCTGGTGGGGGTTGATGATCAGCTCGTTGAGACACAGACCTGCGGGAGGGAGAAGAGTCAGCAAGAAAGGCAGCCACCCGTTAACTTGGGCAGCAACTTGCTGCCCCCCATCACTCTTTTGGGGAGCTGCAATGGGGGGGGTCTCCAAAACTGGGCTGGGGAGGAAAGCAAGAGCAAGAGCTCGCAGTTCCCTTCTCCCTCCCATGAGGATGATCCCTGCCTCGCCTCTGAATCTCCACGTGGGGATCACAGCAAAGCTGGCCTTGGTCTGGAGCCCAGATCCTTCTAGTCAGACTGGCCCCCTCCCCGTCCTGGCTGATGAGGAAAGTGAGCAGGGGGAGCTTCCTGGGGTGGCAGCTGCCAAGCAACAGCCTTTTTTTGCCAAGGCCAGACAGACTGGCAGGAAGGGGAGCTCTGGGGTGCTCGCCAGCCAGAATCTCAGCACTCCAGAGGCGGACAGTCCACCCCCGCCCGTCCGGCCCATGCATGTTACTGAAAGAAGGCGCCGCCTGGGCACTGCTGGAGTCTCAGAGGACAGGACTCACCCAGTTTGGGCACAATGTTCTTGACCATGAAGGCCTCCCAGGAGCCCGGGGTGAAAACCTCCTTCCAGGGCTGCAGAATCAACTTGGCTGAGGAGTCGCTGGGGTGCCATTTTTGGAGGGCGTTGGACAGCTTGTTGCGAATGGGAGAGTAGAGGGGCTCGAGCCGGGCCCGCATCAGGGGAAGCCAGGGGTGTATCCACGAGTGGATGGGGACGGTGTCGGTTAGGGGGTTCCAGTTCTCCACCTTGAAGCAAGAGTGGGAAGAAGCGCAGGGGAGGAGTTGGGAGGCTGGTGCTGCTGAAAGGAGAGCTCCCTCCTCTTCCCAGGTTCTCCCTCTGGGTTTCTCACAGCAGCCTGAAGTACCCCCACCACACCTCCTTCTGCAGCTTGGGGAAGATCAGCTGGTCCAGAATGTTATCCAGGATCCACACAGGAATGATGTGCCTCCAGCTGTCAAGGAAGTCCACGATCGGGATGCAGTTCCGGGGCTGCCACTGTGCCACGATGTTTCGCACATACGGCATCCAAGTTTCCCACATCAATCTGAGGATCCCAAGTGAGCGGTTCAGGGCCTAAATCTACCCAGTTTGCTCCTGGGAGAATTTTAAGAGACCACACTCCCAGCAACTTCTTTTCCCAGCTTTATCTCATGGACTTAGAAGAAGCCTGCATCTTCCTTGCTCAGGCCTTGAGAGAAAGCTGAGTAGAGCAAGATGCTCCAAGCTGTGGGATAAGCATCCTGTTTTCTCTGGGGCCACCTGTGCTGGGATTTCTAATCTGCCTTGCCACAAAGACCCCAAGCAGTAATCCCACCCAAGGAAGGGGTGTAAATGAAGATTTGGGACTGTTTCTTCTTGGGAAGAACCCCTCTCTCCTTTCCTGCTGGAGGCTCACCTGTGAAAAGCATCTGAGCTGAGGTCCTGTGCACTGTGGGACAGCAGCTGATCATTCTCCAGCAAGGTTTTCCATTTAGCCAGGATCTCTGTGCCGGATGTGCAGTCCTGCAGAGGAAGGAAAGAAAGTTTGGGTGAGATATGCACTAAACCACAAGCTTAAGGAGACGAGGTTCTTCTAACGTTTCGTGCATTTGGGAGATTTGGTGATACAGCCATTTGAAAGAGCCAGGTAAGAGCACAGAGACATCCATCCGAATGTGAAGCTTGCAAAACGTTTTCAGCACGGAGGGCCACCTTTGCTCCCTGCGCCCCCCAGCTTGGGACAGGCCAGGGAGGAGGCATGTTTTGCGATCTTGCTCGCATCAGCAAACTGGCGAGACGTTTTCCCTCCAAGCCCTCAGAAGCCCCTTTGGAGCTGCATACAAATTACCACAGAAGCCCCACCTTGAGAGGATCCCAGTTCTTGAAGTAGTCCTTGACCAGAGGGAAGACGATGGCCACAGCCAGGTCCACGCGGTCTGACATCTGGTATTCTTCATAGTACTTATCCTGGAGGGTCTCAAATATCTTGACGCACTCAGGCAGAGTCAGGGGGTCTTCGCAGTTGGGCTGCATCCGCCTCTCACACTCCTCCACGAGCTCTAGCACCTCGCTGAGGTTGCGGATGTCTGCTTCCTCCCGCGAGAGGACCTTGGCCGTCTTCTCAATCTCGTGGGTCAGGTTGACCACCATATCCCGCTCGTACTGCAGCTGCCGGTCGTTCTGGATGATCTCCTGCTCCGTCAGGTCAATGAGCAGCTGCAGATTGTGCTCCAGCTCTGGCAGGGAGAACGTCTGCATCCTGGCATCCTTGCCCGACGGAGGCAGCTGCTGCTGGGGACCGTCCTCCGGGACGTTGTGCTTCTGGCTGATCTGGCTGTAGCTGTAGTAAACCTTCTGCTCCCGGCCTGTCATGTCAATCACCTTCCAAAAGAGAAGCAGAACACGGTGGGGAGTGGGGGGCATTACAGGCCCCAAGAGGGCACACGGAGCAGGGGGACAGCCAAGTTAGGCTACTGATGTTGGTGGTGGTGCCCATTCCACGCCCAAAGCACCAAGAAGGCAGCTGGTGATTAAAGCCTGCAAGCTCAGACCGTGGAAAAATGCTTACTGCTGCATTTCCTGGCTGGAGCAGGATTGCTTTGCCCCCTTCATCCCTCTTCCCCCAGCCCATCCCTCTACAGCCATCTATCTCACCTTGACCTGCGCCAGCTCCTTCTGTGGGGCAGACAATTGCTTGCCCGCCCTGCCCTTGGCCTTCAGCTCCTCCACTGTCTTGTATGTATACTTTGGTTTTTTCTTGCCCCCGCTGGGGTCTTTCCGCCACTGGCTAAGTTCCTTTTGAAATTCCTGGGGGCAGAGGAGAAGAAAGTCACAGGCAGGGTTTGATCCACAAGGCCCCCATTCTGTAATGAGATCAACTAGGGGATTGCGTTGGGTGGGGGTGCTGTTCCCCCAAAGAGGCAGGCAGCCACAGAAGGCGTTCCCAGCAGCCAGGTATTTTGCAGGAGATAAATTTCAGCTCCCAGGCCTGCTGCCTGACTGTAACGCAAGCCCTCCCAACCCCGCCCCAGTTCCAAAATTTCTGGCATGAGCCATTCGGGTATGGGAAAAACCATACAGAAACATAGGAAGACTTTAGCGAGCCATCCTTGTTTTACTGTAGAGCAGAGACAGAAAGCCTTCTCCCACGCCAGCTGTAATGTGGCAAAGGAGAACATGGGGTTGTACCTCCTCTTCTTCTTCATCAGAGTCAACAATGGGGAAGTCTTGCAGGGACTGCGTGGTTCGCTCCGAGCCATATGCCCCAATAGCCGCCTTGCCTTTTCTCTGCTTGGCCTCAATGGGGTTGATGATACCTAGGAAAGTTCTTGAGGGTCAGAACAGAGCGCCCCCCAGAGACAGCGATGGAATAGCCCAGCCTGGGCAGGCACCCCAGCAGCTGCTCCCTTGGGCCAGACACGCAACCCGCCCTGTGGCCACCTGGGCTGAAGATCCACAGGGACTCTTCATCACGGAAACAGCCAACCAGAATTCTAGACATGGCCCGCCGCGCTAAACTTCTTGCAGGTGGATGCAGCTGCCATCAATGACGGTTTCAATTTTAACAATAAATCAAAACTAAACTCACAGGTTATGCCACCAACATCCCCTGAATTTTATAAATTACTAATTTGGGATGATAATGGATAAGAACGTGTTTTTTTAAAGGTTTTTTTATCCTGCTGTAACTCAAGGCGGTAAATGTACCTAATGCTCCTTCCTCCTCCCGTTTTCCCCACAACCACCACCTGGGAGCAGAGTCGGGCCGAGGGAGAGGGAGTGGCCCGAAGTCCCCCAGCCGGCTTTCCTGTCTAAGGCGGGCCCAGAACCCCCCGTCTCCTGCTTTCCAGCCCGGGGCCTCCGCCACAAGACCAAGCCGGCTCTGCTACAGCTTCTCAGGGAAGTTTCTGCGGTGCAGGAACGGGAGGAAGGCAGAGACACTCTGCGCAGGAAGCGCCGGCCCTACCTTGGGCGTTCTTCCCCAGGCCTCTGCCGGGCACGTAGCCCATTTTCTGAAGAAGCTTCTGCCCGATGCCCTTGGTGTGCCTCTCCCAGCTGCCGAAATCCGTGAAGGACTTGGTCCCGCCGACGAAGCCCTTCTGGCTGGGCTTAAAGTTGCCGCCCTGCGTTTGGGGGAGAGCGGGGGGAAGGAGGGTGAGCATCCCCTCCGAGGGGG